TTTTTTTAATTTTAACAAACAAGACACCGCCTTTCATATTCAGCGTGTGGAAAGAGAGAGAGAAAGATAGATGATATAGGACCGACTGAAAGAAACGGAAGGATCATCGAATAATATACAGAGTGTGTTTCTGCAATAGCGATACAAACGATTAGAATGTGATGCCACGTGGAAAAATAAATCGACGAGAAAGAACGTCTTTTCCTCTCGTTGTTTTTCTCTTTCGAGAAAATTGAATGGGAAAGTTTGTCGAGTAGGTACTATTTGAATTTAATTAATTTCGAAGCGAGGATATATTCCACGAGTGCGAAAATAGGAAAATTGGAAAAAATTTGGAACACGATCTTTTTTTGATAAAAAAAAGGCGCTTTGATTGCCGAGAAGAATTTGAGTTAAAAATTTATTAATTTGAATAATTTATATGTACGGAAAATTTCATTATAGATACGCAACCTTTGAGAATCATTGCATTCGTCGATTATTCACAACACAGTGTGGAATTAGCCAAAATCAAGCACACGTGCCTCACAAATTTTCCAACAATTTTTGCCAATTTTCTGAGAAATTGTTGACGTTATTCTTTCTTCTCAACATATTTTTGTACGTGAAACATCATAGCCTGACCAATTGCATCACGATTTCGACAACACTCTGTATACGTATGTATTCTTCTTTTTTTTTTTTTTTTTTATATATATACATATATAAAAGGAAAAGAACGATGGAGAAAGATGAGGAACGAAGGACAAGACAGATATGGCTAGCAGAAGATCATGAACAGCTGATCGTTTCTTCCTTTCAATGATCAATAAATTGAAGAAACGTGTTCGATTCGATGAGAATGATCACTGAATCAATGATCGAAGTGAAAGATGGGAGGCTGGCGAGCAAAAAAAGTGGCGCACAAATAGTACATGTACATGTGAAAGAGTAGGGTAGCGTCTTGATCCAATATTAAGAGATTAAAACAGAGAGGTTTTATATTTACTGAGAGAGAAGGATAGAGATAGAGAGACAAAGAGAGAGAGAGAGAGAGAGAGAGAGAGAGAGAAAGACAGACAGAGAGAGAGAAAGAGAGAGAATAGGCGTTGTCGGTGATGATGCGAGAGAATGTGTGTGTAAACATAGCGAGCCGCGGCAAATAGTGTGTCTATAAAAAAATGAAATAGTCTCTAAGAATCTGCGACTACACCCAATTGATCTATTTCTCTAAGCATACCTGGTACAATAGCGACAGTCTTCAAGGCTCGGAGGACTCGAAATGTCCTAAGAGCGGCAAGGTTGCCTAGATCTATGCCCATCGTCACATAACTGCAATACACCCGAACATCACACACATTACAGTGATACAAACAAAAAAACAAAACGATTTTATAGAAAAAAAAATATAGAGAAAGAGGTAGAGAGAAAGAAAAAGAGAGAGAGAGAGAGAGAGAGAGAGAGAGAGAGTGGGAGAGAGGGAGAGAAAGGGAGAGAGACAGAGAGAGAGAGAAGGAGAAAGAAAGGTAGAAATAGAGGAGAGATAGAAAAGATAGAGGTAAAGAAGGAGAGAGAAAAAGAAAGAGAGAGAGAGAGAGAGTTGAAGAGAATAAGTAAAACAAGTAGTTAAATATAATACTCAAACGATTACTCGCTACCAGATTTTTCTATGGCCTACCAAAAAACGTCTGCTTTGAAAACTGCTGGTATAATAATAATAATGATAATAATAATAATAGTAATGAAAATAATAAGACCATATGTATATATAAAATGTATATACGCTTACGGATTCGTGTGTGTGTGTACATTTTATATATAAATATATATATATATATTTTACAGGTAGCTATTACTGCATGCACTCGATGTCGCTCGATATGCCACGGTATCACGGGAATCTAATTATTTAATCACCTTCTTTTTGATTGTCTTTTCTTCTTCTTCTTTTTTTTTTTCTTGTTCTCTTGTAACAGTGATGATAATAATAGTAGTAGTAGTAGTAATAGTAGTAACAGTAGTAGTAACAGTAATAATGACAAGGATTAAATTCTAGTTTCATTAAGGTAAATGGAGCATGATAGTGATATCGTTCTCGTGATGCCGAGTCGCAAACGGATACTCGTTAATGTTTATACGATACACGTAATTTGTCCATCTATCAACAATTACGTAATATATATGTATATGTTAAATAATAGGATGTATATGTATGTATACATACACATACACACACACACATATATATATATATGTATATAATAAAATTTACTAAATCTACCACAATTAATAATAAATGGATTCGATCGTATCGACTATTATATATATATAAATACATATATATATATAAATATATATATAAATATATATATATATATATGAATATAATTACGCTATTCTAATCAACAATTACAATGATGGTAAATAAAAAATAAATAAATACTCTGACTGTAATAACTAGACATAATAATAATAATAATAATAGTAATAATAATAATGATAATCAGAATGGTAATATAATAATAATAAAAAAATCTCTAATCCCTATCTAAATTAACTAATTTATGTATATTACCTATTGAAACGTATATTTGATGTAATCGTGTAACAGTACGTATCCATGTCGATATTATATGTATGTCGTGTGTACGTATGCGATATACATATATATATATAAATATATTTTGTACGTGTTGTATTGTATATAAGTACATGTGTGTAAATGTGACAAGAGAAAGTTTGAATAGTATAGAATTCACACTCGCTACACAAATTCGTTTCTTCTTTCTTTTTTTTGCTTTTTTTTTTGCTTTTTTTTTTTAATGTAGCCAAATATTATATTATATGTATTACATAGATATCTATGTCCCATAATTCGAGCAGATTCTAATCTCGTGTATTAATTAGCTTCTCTGCGCCAACTCTGGTAAACGGGATCGGCATGATTTATTGAAAATCGGTGTGTCGACACGGTTGTGTGGTTAAGATCGTCATCGTGTTGTACGAATCTACCCGTGAAACTATATAAGTAACACAGGAAGAAAGAACAAAGTGCTCTTCAGTTCGATCGAACTGAAATCTGACACGGAATATTTCGAAGAATATTCTTGTCGTTCCATAATGAAATACTTAAAAGCATTTGAAATATTCGAGATGTTGAAAATATAATTAATTCAATGTATAAAGTATTCGTAAAATAAAGTAAACACAGTTAAATTGAAAATTTAACTTATTCTGAACTTTAATCGCTATAATTGTTAGTCGACAGAAGGCTAAATAAATAGTTAAAAAAATCCATAGTTAAATTATTCGTGGTAAATTAGGAAGCGACATAGTTGACAACCATAGTTAGGTAGATTCGTGAGTAATTCTTCGGCTAAAAAGCGTGAATTTTATCTCTTTATGTCTTCTCCTTTTGTTTTTCTTTTTTAAATAATTCAATTCTAGACGCGGATTGCCTAGAATGGATGTTTTCCTCCATGGAGGAAATTAAGTTTCCACCGTGAACTTTCCGAAGAATCAATCGACAGATTCGTCGAAAGGGGAAAAACTCACGCTTTCGTGAGACCCAGCAGATCTTAATACCGCACGACATATCGACCTTTATGATTTTTTTTCTTTCGAGTGACGATTTATGCTTCCGGGCCAATTTATGCTCAATTTATTTTATCCTCTTTCTCGTTACGTCGGATGTTGCTCTCGGTTAATCTTAAAGTTCGATTGTCCCACGTTCGTTACTTCTTTATCATTTCTTTTCTTCTTTTCTCTCAAGTTTCCTTTCTTTTTAATTAGAAAATATACAAATAGATATATATATATATATATATATATATATATATATATTTAGAACCGAGAGGAGCAGATTGTTATTACTGATAACTGAAGAATCTTTCTCAAATTTATATTACTAATTAGTGTTTCAGCTACTTGTACAATACTAACTTTCAACAGTAAACTTAAGACTTTTTACAAGCTTTGCAACATTCTCTATCGTCACACGCTGTACTCTACCGTTCTCATCGTTTTTCTTTCTTTTCCTTTCGCCGTTCTTTTCCCCGGTATCGTTCTCTAAAAACGGTTTTCTCGTTTGCTCGTGTTCGTCACTTTCCCCTTTTCTGTTTTCCCTCCTTTTCGTTTCTTTCGTTTAGTTAAAAAAATAAGTTTTTAACTACTCACGCTAAAGCTATAACTACGAAGTCGAGCCAATTCCATGCATCTCTAAGATAGGTAAAAGGCTGCAGAATGAAACCCCTCGCCATCACCTTAACGGCGGACTCAAATGTGTAGATGCCCGTAAATATCACTCTGAAAACAACAAACACACCACTCAGCTTTTTAAATGTGATTTCCTTCTTTTTTTTTTTTTTTTTTTGGCGCGCGAGTCTCTCTCTACTATTTACTTGGCCTAAGTGTGTTTCTCCGACACATCACGGTGACAAGTCGCATCAGCGACACACCCACCTGGCAAAAAGGACATGAATACACCATACAGTTCTTCGAGATCTGGTTTAATGCTAATTGAGGAGTTTATAACTTTTCATTCAACTTTCCTTCCCTTTCTCTAGAAATGAAATTGTTGTTTAATGTAAATTGTACCTTTTTACTGAAACTTTGATTTCCTTATTTCCTGTTTTCTAGGGATAACGATAGAATCAAGTTTATCGCGAATTAAATCAGATCCTACATTCTTTTTTTTTCTCTGTCTTTTGCTCGAGCTTTAATGCAAACTATTAGGAAAATAGAATTCATTTAGGATAGAATCGTTTTATGAGAAATAATCTTTCTTTTTTTTAATATTTATTTTTTAAATATCTTTTCTTTTAAACTGTGTAACAATTGTCATGTTACAATATTAATTGCAACGTACCTACTTCATCCCATCGCTACTAATAAAGTAATAATTCTATAAAAATATCGTAATAATTCTGAGCCAAAAATTGTAAACGTACCAAGAGGATATTTTATAATTCAGTTTTAATTATTATTACACCTTTCATATTGTTAGAATTTAACAACACCCGTTAGATTGATCTTTCTTGTAATACCTTTTCTCGCGTCCTTGTGCTATATTTTTATATTCCTTTCTTGGCATTTTCGTATTGATTTTTTTTTTTTTTTTTTATTACTAAAGCTACTTATTCGGTTTTTTTCTTTTTCGCAATACCTCCTTTGTTCCTGCTTGAATTCCTGTTCTGGAGTTCTTGCATGTCCTTTTTATTGTTGGACATTGCTGAAGTGTTGTTACGCTTCTTTTATTACTGGAATCTTTTTTTTTTTGAGTTTCTTTGTATCTTCTCTCCCATTATTAAAGTTTTCTTTCTTACCTTCTTTCTATTATTTTCTTTCTATTACTGAAATTCCACTTTCGGGAACTTGAAATCACTCTCTCGCTACTGGATTTCTTCTTTCACTCACGTTCCGTAGAGTTACTCTTTAATAAGTGAGACATCGTTACAAATCTCGCTTTCTGTTCGTTTTCTTTCTCATTAAAAGTATAATTAATTAATAAATAACTCCCAGTCTGTGACACATTGGAAAACAAAAATCTGAAAACTCGCGTCCAAAAAGTCAAGTATGGTTCGTCTAAATAATCATTTGAGTAATACAAAATCTGTTTCAATCTTCATTTTCAAACCACATACGGCGCTGAATATCAGTAAAATAATTCAATCTGGTATATCGTGGAGACGACTATAAACACAAGTAATTCAGGCTTATCTCATGAACCTTTGCCAGTGAGCATGATCGCTTTTGCTAAACTAGGCGATAGCGTCCGATCGCTATCGGCGTCTAATTGATTACAGATCGCCGTAGACAAGTTAGCTATCGTCGAGCAGGATCCGAGCGAACAATTTTCTTTCTTTGATCGAATGAACGAATCGTTCGCGTAACAAAACAGATGTTTCATTTCTTTATTTCTTTTATTTTCTTTTTCCTTTCTACTCCATTCTTTCTACAGTATTTGGACTGCGGATGTTCGCTGTATGCGAATTGTAAAGTTCTTTTCGCGAGCATAGTCACAGTAACTCTTTTCGGATTAAATTTGGTTTAACGAAGAAAAATTATTTTCTATTAATAAATATTTTCTATTTTAAAAATTATTTTTAGAAATATTAAATATTAAAATTTTTAATATTAGAAATATTAAATATTAAAAAGGTTTTAATTTTAAAGATATTAAAAATATTAAAAATATCAGAAAAATTATTTTCTATTAGTAAATATAAGTTTTATAATAAAAATTAATTTAATTTAATAATAAAAATTTTATAATAAAAATATAATAAACTTAACGATTTAATTATAGAAAGAATTACGACTTTTTAAATACTTTGCAGACATTTTGTACATTTGTGTACTTATTTACAAATTTCTCATAAATGCATAAACATCCGCAGTGTGGCCATATTATTCGCACAGATCGCTCACGTATCTACGCTCTACCTCTAGAGAGACTAGAACAAAACTTACCAACGGTTATACATATTTATCACAGTCTCTACTCATATATTTAGAGCTATAACACGTAGAACATTGCTTGAAATATCTAGACTTTGTAACGACGTGTACTCGCCGTAAGCGTTTGACGATTCGTACTTGAATTCAGTTAATTAATTCAACTTTAGAAAATATTTATAATACGTGAAGAATTTACAAAAAACAGAGCAAAGTTGAATTTGTACGAGATTTAATTCGATTCATCTCCGGCTTAGGCTCGCAAACACGCTAAGCTACGTTGATTCACAGTCACTGCAGAGCAAGCGTAAATATATAATTGACTGGGGAAGTTAACAAAAATTTAAGTAAAAAAAAAAAAAGAAAAAAAAAATAGATGGCAATTTCCGACACTTCGACACTGCTCTTTAATCTCGAAGGTAGTCGTGGAATTTTTCTCAAAGTAGTTTCAATACTTAAAAATCTATATGTATATACTTCCAACATGTAAAAAAATATATTGTTGTAATAAAATTGTTCCATTAAAATGTACAAATTTGCTTCCATCCATTCAAGAATCGTACAAAATCAACGATTTTGGTGTACTTAAACCCAACGCACGAGTTTCGATCTTCCTCTAATAAATAGCGCAACTTGGAAATAGAATATTGCAAAGCAGCGTAAAGCTCGGTTCGTACGTATACCGAAATTTCGTTTCGTAAAGATGGACTTTGAAATTCGTAAAGAAAAATTTGGAAATCGTCAAAGTTCAACACCTTCGATCCTCAACATTTGCAAAGAAGCAATTTCCTTCATTCAAGTATGAACATTCGAGATTCTCAACAATTCAATGCGAAAAAAGAAACTTTCACAGTGATCGACACTCGTGCGCGTTGCAGCCGCGTTCACGCGCGTAGAATGAAAAAATGTGGGCGGGGAAAAAAGACGGAGATGTGAACGAAAAAACGGGGTGCGTAGGCAAAGATCAAAGTAAATCAAGTTTTCGCCATTGTTTCGCTAAGTCGAGGGTGCAAAGGGGGATGGAGAGAGAAAAAAAAGAACGATACTCACTCCGTAGACTCGATGGTGGGCGTAGTGGGCATGATCATGAGTATGCAGTTAACCAATATTGTAGTGATAATGAAGAGGGAGAACAGTGGGTGAACCAATATGTAAATGGCCACACGTCGTATTGGGTTGAACGGGTCGAGGATCCACATCGCATCTGTCGCTGAGAACCTGAATATGTCTTTTCCCTTGCTGATGACGACGAAGGTCTGGTTAAAAAGACAGATAATATTAGTTACAGTGAGGAAACAGCAGGGCCGACACAACCCATGAGCAATCGTTACACGTACAATAGGAACAGTGTTGCATTTCTAATTAGAATCTCTCGTTTAGCATCTGCCTCATTTTTTGAGGCACGTTGACATCACAAAGTGTTTTCCCACTTTTATCCAACATTTATTACTACGACGAGTTAAACATTGAAAGAGACTTGAATTTAGAGAAACAAATGAGTAGAAATCTGACAATACTAACAAATAATACAGAGATTGTACTGAATGAAAGATTTGATCTCTCAACTCGTATTAATAGACAATGGCTCGAATTTCCAACAGGATGTTAGAAATCCATCACGAATTATTATTTTCCACCGTAAATTCCCCTCGAAGGAATTATCCACAGAACTTACCAAAATATATTCGTTCAACTTACCAAAAAACGCAACGCTCTCTTACGACATCAACTTAACTTAAACGCTATGAGAATTCGTTTCTCAGGATTAATTTCTCTTGCAGAACGCGCAACAATGTGAAACCCGAATTCTCTCCGGTTTTCGTAATAAAATATCGATACCCTTTGGTTATGATAGAAGCTATCGATATCCTCGAGAGGTGTGGAGGCCAACTCGGGTGGAAATTCGTTGTGCAGTCGGACCGGGATCGGTGCTCCTTGCTCGAGCATCGGATCCGGCTGAGGACCCTCGTCCTCGTCCTCGTCGTCATACCGAACCTGCGAACGGAAACACTCCTAAGCATCGTAAACTCCCTTACACAATCTACCATACTTATTACCATCTTGCATCGAATCATATATCATTACCATGATCATTTCTTTTCTCGTAAAGACGTGCTAGAAATTATATATACAGGTTGAAAAAAAAAAAAGATAAATAATAATTACAAACCCCCCTCCGCTACGTATTATTACTCGCGCGAGGATACAAATTGACAAAAAAAAAAAAAAAAGTTGAAAAAAAAAGAGTTGTCTTATCGAGAGTGACATCGGTGAAATAAATATTTCCAAGATATTTCGAATATATCTGGTGTTTAATTGTACAAAGAAAGTTGAACGTGTTTATGTATATTCACGCTGAGAGAGAGAGAGAGAGAGAGAGAATTGTTAGTGATTTATCTCATTTATTGGAAATATTCATTTTGTATTTTATATATATATATTTATACTTGTCGGCTATGTGTGCACCGGTGTTATTCATAACCCGCTTCTAGATCAGCTCTACGCGTTCCTAATCGTTCCACGGCTTATTATGCATCGCAAGAGAACGTCCCGAGCTTCTTTTCGCAGGCATTCTTTTCCTCAGCAAGCTTCTCATTTCATTTGACGACGGTACCACCTCCGTGAAATTTTGTCGCGGCTTTTTGTATCTCATCGTCACTGATTATTAGACAACGTTGATTTTTGATACATTCGTGTATTAAATTAGGAGAATTGGAAGATTCAGTTTGGCGTCACTGTCAGGATCTAAAATATCTAGAAAATCTTTTCTTGATGAGAAACAATAACCAATTCTGACAATTCTCCTTTATTATTTAACTATATTTTAGTAGACGTTGAATTAGAAAAATATTTTCGTTTTGATTCGACGAAAAACCAATTCTTTTATGGAAATATTGTTCAACTACATTTCAACATTAGAAGTATTTCATTTTCTCGAACGCAACAAATATAAAACACTACGTTTCAAAAACATAAAATATCGAACGCATATATATATATATATATATATATATTCCTCGCAAATAAAATTCTATCTACAGAGAGAGAATTTGAACAAGAGAAATCTTCATTTAACCGATCAATACGTACCATTTAATAATCCTACACCTCGTGTCATCGACTCTCGAATGCATTAAATATTTTTCATCTTCACTCGTCATGATCGTCACCGACTCCTCAAAGTCTAAATTACGACAACGTCCAAAGTCACTCCAAAAGTAAATTTTAAACGACCCACACTATGAAGTTGAACAGGTTTACCCGTGACACTTTTGGCTGCACGAAACGACTTAAAATATTAAATAATTATCGTCAGCAAGGTTTCATTATGGTGGTACGTGTCGCAGGTATAAGATATTCATGGTGACTCGCGACGAATATTACGGAGATGGTAACGTATTTTTGCACGTATTACGTGTACTTTGCCGATAGTACGACGGTTGCCCCACATTTCTCCCGGTTTCTCTCTTTTTTCTATCTTTTTTTTTTCTCTTTTCTTTCTTTCTTTTTTTTTTTTCCTCCTACTTTGGAAGCATCGGGAACATCTATTCCGCGTCTAGTCTTGAAAAGCAGCTATGGCGGCTAGTCGTATAGAAGGCGGCTATATGTATGTACAATGTTATATATATATATATATATATATACAGAGAGAGAGAGAGATACGTGTGTACAGTACGAAATTGGTGCTAAAAGCGGGTCGTGAACATACGAACCTGGATAAGGTCCACGTGATCTGCTCGTTTCCGCTCCCGTCTCCGCGAATTTTCTGCCGAGCGATTATTAGAAATTCGAAGTATGCCCACCTGCCTTTACCGTTGTGCTTCTCTTTCTTTCATTTTTATTAACACCGGAACCCTGCCGGATCTTCGTTGATCGCCATTTCGAATCGTATATAATTCTCTCGGTTTTAATCGTGTACAATGATGCATAGATCAACAAATATAGTTCAATTAATGGAGATATAGATTAATTGATCATTCTTCTACAGACTGAGCGTTATATAACCAAGATTTGAATGTTAATAATATATTAAATAATAAGATTAGATAATATATTAAATTAGATATATTAGAAAATAATATATAAAACAAGATTTAAGAAATAATATCATTTTATTTCATTATTTGAAAAAAAAGAAAAATGAAAACAAGTCTGTTGATATAGTTATCAAGACAAGGGATTTGAAGAAATAGAGTTCATAAACAAAATTAAATTAACTTCGTACGAAAATCGAAATTCATGTACGATTAAGTGTTCTATACGATTTTTGGATTCTTGAGAAGTATAAATCCATCTGTAAACGATATTAAGTACAGTAGCAAAGAGGAAACATTATCAAAATGGCAGCACTATAGGGTTCCAGTGTTAACCAGCCTCGCGTGAAAGCTTTGATGAGAATAATTGCACCATAAAGAAAACATATGAAAAATATACATATATACCCATCGCGAAGACTTTTCTTTTTTTTTTTTTTTCTCTCTTCTTAAAATATCCATACTCTGAGCGATATATTCCTCAAAGACTTTTTTATTTAAAAAGCTTCGTGTCAATCGGGCAAGAAATAATCGATCAAAGAATCTTTCGGTATCCGTCGTATTTTTGTTTCTCGGGAATCATTCGTCGAATAGTTTTTTGTAAGAATCGATTGGAAACTAATTAAATCGTGATCTAATCTAGGAAGCATTTCGTAAAAATTCCAGTAGATAATATTGTCTTCTGAAGCTATTATAGATGCACATACATGAACCTACTCCTAATAACAAGCTATATACTAAGATCGTTAAATATATATATATATATATTTATATGTATATGTATACAAGATTCTACCTAAATCTAATTTACACAAGCGAGAAGTGTCTGTCGATGAATATTCAGGCTGAAATTCACGGCCAGAGCAGAACACACGGTGCAGCAAGACACGTTCCTCATTGATCTTCTTTTTTCCCTTACTTTTCTCCTTCTTCATTACTCGAGAAGTTGAATGGAAACGTGACGAATTGCTTCGGAGATACCTCGTTAAGGACCACGTGACTACGTGACGCATAATTACGCGTGACATTACTCGCAAATTTAAATTGCGCAAATTAGAATAAATACCTTGCTACGCAAGAGGAATTTTCGTTATTAGTGCGTTTCGATTTGAAATCTCCATGACTCAAAAACATATTAACTCAGTGAATTATTTAGCGCTGATGTTAATTAATATCAACTGAAATTTTTTAAATCATAGAATCTAAGAGAACGTGAGTAACGAATAAATTAAACGATATGCTCTTGAAACATGATACTAAAACAACCGGAAGTCGATGATGTAAATTGGCCGAATGAAACCGTTGCGGTTAGAACGTTGCGTCGACGCAACGTTGGCCCTTAATAGGTTAAAGATCGATCTTCCACGAACTTTCATTTCAGTCTGCATTTGAACATCAGTTTTAATCCCACCCAGTTCGTGTCAATCTCAGTCACGACTATCGATCAACTTCTCGACTAATCTTTACACCAAAAAAAAAACAAAAAAANTTATTTATACAGAGAAAGATCTCTCTGACGCAAAATGATGTACAAAAAAAAAAAAAAAAAAAAAAACAAAAAAAAAAAAAAACAAAAAAAAAAGAACAGGAATAAAGAGAAAGAAAAATCGGCAAAAAGAAAAAGAGTCGAAAATCGATCGATGAACAACCACGAGATGATTCATCGTTCCGAGGTTCTCCGAGGCCGAAAAAAGTATCGATCGTCCCCCGAAGAAGAAAAAAAAAAAAATCGACGACACGAAATACGTTTCGACGAAGAAAGAAATCGGAAAAAATTCCACGCGATCGATGTTCTTCGATAAGAGAGAGAGAGAGAAAGAGAGCAGAGCATCGTCTTGTACTGCGACGTACCAAACGATAAATCAATACGATCCCAGAAGAGCGGCCCACGCCACTACGATCATGTGCGATTCGCTTGCACGACGCTTATGCTGCTGCTGCTGCTGCTGCTGCTGCTACCGAGGCGCGCAATTTAATGAATAAAAAAAAAAAAATAAAAAAGAAAGGAAAGAAAAAGGTTTATGTACAAAGAAATCTGAGCTGCAAGCATTGCGGCAAGATACACGGCATACGAATCTATAGAAGCGCTTCCAGGCGGCTGCGAGTTTCTAAACCAGACGTTGTACTGAGTACTTGACGAAGAAACAAGTCGGACCCACGCGAGCTTTTCACTTCTCGCGTGTTTCTTCGTCACTCGTATCTCTTCGTCGCTCCGGCGGATTTATCGTATACGAATTTACTCGTCTATTAACAACGTATTGAATTTGTTTCATTAACGAATACATATCTACGTGTACGTAGCTTTGAATTTGCGTAATTGTTCTCTAGCAACAAATGTAATAGATAATAAATATCTGATGATATTTATTGTAATTTCGAGAAATCATCCTGCGTTAAAAGTAGACATTTAAAATTAAAAGCATATCTACGTGTACGTAAAACCAAATTTTTTTTTTAGTTCGTTCATTTGTTTATTTAATTATTTTTTTTCCTTCATTTAAAAAGATAAAGTTTATTGAGGCCGTTCTGTGTAAATTGATATTTCTGTGAACGCGATTGACCCTTGGACTATCGGAGTCCGTTAATTTCTATTTAATTTCAAATTAATAACTGTGTTACACTTAAAATCGTGTGTTTGAGGATATTAATGTAATCTAATTTTAATCTAATTTAATTTTTTTCTAATACTGCAAAGGAAGATTAAGTTCCATTCCTATTTAGAACCAATTGTTAAACTTAAAATTGAAATTCCAATGAAGGATTGAGAAAAGAGTCTAAGAAGTTTGTTTTAACCATCAAATATCTAAGAAGTTTTAACCATCAAGTATCTAAGAAGTTTGTTTTAACCATCAAATCAATAAAACAGTTTTAAAGCGCGACCAAATTGAATCTTCGATTTTCTTCAATTTATTCGTTTATTATCTAATGGATCTTGCAATTTTAGAACAGCGAGAAGAACGGTCGAACTTTTTATATTTCATCCGATATTGGGTATTTTTAGTAATCGAACAATGTCGCGATTGATATTCATGTGTCTATGAATCGTTCACGAGGAAATAATTCTTCCGATAAGGAACAATTTCTCGGGCATGATCTTGAAAACAAGCCAAAAAGTCGTGTTGGAATATTCAATCAGTAAGAGATATCGACTATCCACAATTTATTGCCTCTTCGCCATTTCTTTTATCTTATGTCTCTTCTTTCGATATATTAAACAAGCAAAAAAAAAAAAAAAAAAAGAAAACAAATTTCGACTTTATATCGTCGCTAACAAATGGCTCGGAAGTTATTCGCAGTTAATAAAATGAAATAAATTTCTTCGCTAACTCAAAGGTTCTTTTTCAGTCGAACAGTTTCGCAAGTTTACAAATTTCAAAACAGAAAATTCCTTACGAATATTCAATGGGTCGCGACACGTTCCGACTTATTTCGCCAAGCATCGTGCGCAATAATTATTAGCTTAGCTCTCAGCAAGAAGCCTGTTCAAAATGCGTGTGTAGATCAATCGTGCGACCAAACGAACGCGAACGAATCATTTCGATCCCGTTCGATCGGCGTCTTTCTCCTTCTTCTTCTTCTTTTTTTTTTCTTTTTCTTTTCTTTTTTGCTGACGTACCATCGAAATTTCCATATTTACCTGACCCAGTGAACGAAATCTTTATTCTCGACTCTCTTTTCTATTAAACACGTAACGAACGTCTCTTTACCTTTTCTTTTTCCTGTTCAACTCGAGCAAACTCAAATATCGTCGACATCAACCTTCAAATAGTAATCGTTGGATTACAGATGCATGTACAAAATTTCGCGAAGCCATTTAATTTCATTCGGATTTTATTTTATCGTGCATTAGCAATGTAGATCGTGGAATTTCGTACTTTAAGAAAGAAAGAAGACACAAAATCGCGCGGAATGCAAATAATAAAAAAAATGTCCAATTCTCTATAAAATTCGGTACGTGAAACAGTAGAACACTCTATTTTTTTTTTTTTTTTTTTCATTTGCTATCGTCGTTCTTCCACTTTCAATCAAAAGTGCGAAAAATCTTGCGTGAAAATCCACGATCTTTTGATAAAATGTACGTACGTCGCGAGTAAGAGTTCCAAACTTCACCGCAAATTATTATTATCCAACGATGCTGAAGTTGAAAGTTCAAAATCGAGCAAATATCGAGGTGATTGTCACAGAATCGAAGCACAGGCAAGGCTCGTATCATTTTGTTGCGAGCGTAACTCGCGCTCTATAGCGTGTGTCAATAGCATTACACAAGAAGCGCGTTGTTTCTTTTGATAAATGGTGTGTCTAGCGTGATACCAACTTACATATGACACGTGTATATATACATGTGAGTGTGTGGTATTATGTGTTGCTCTGTGACCACGATGTAGCCTCGAGAGAGATCTCCTTCTTGGTTAATTGATAAATGAAATTTTTTTCCAGCATGAATGTAAACAGGAATAACGATCTTTGCTCGTACAACAACGCAACAAGCGATTACAAAGTTTACAAATTTGATACAATCTGGCGTACAAAGAAGCCGTGTACGTGTGAGAATGTTGCGACGAAAGTGGTTTTTGTATAATCATTAGGTACAGCTGCTCGCGATTATTATATATATATTCAGAAAAGGTTTGTACACTTTTTGAAGCGATACAAAAGACTGAGTTTCTTAAATAAATATTTTTGTAGAAATAAAGACAAGATTATATTTTGGGAGCATTCGAGGATTTTACTAAATTATTTATAAGTAAAAAAATCCACAATTATGATACTAATGCGTATAATATACTTATATAATTTTATATTAAATATATCTACAATATCGTAATTTATTTATTTATTTATTTATTTATTTATTTACTCGTCTTTCACGGGTAAAGAAAGAAAGAACACCCATTAGTACAAAAGTGATACAATTATAAAAAATAATATTAATTTCATGAAAGGATAACGACGAGAAAGACACCCCAAACAGAATGGATTTGGTTCTACATAAAATCTCCATCTCGAGATAACCAAACTGATCGAATTGATAAATTCGTATGAATTTATATCGACACACGGATATTACCTTAATCGCAACAGTCACTTTCGTCGCAACAGAACTCGACGTAAACTCGACGAGATACTTCGAGAAAAAGCTGACGCTTCTCAAACGTGGAATTAAAACTGATAGGAATACGAACAGAATCACAAGCGAGAATCGTAATTTAAATAAGACACAACACAGCTGTGAAATACCGTCGCGTGTTTATCAATTAGAAAACATCATGTCAACGACTCGTCATTTCGTCGCGTAATTCATAATATACCGCGAGATATATCGACACGTGGAAATGCGACAAGCACAAAGGGGAATCGATGTACACCGTGGCACTGGTGAAAATTAGGTGTCTCGGTGGGTGGACGTTGCGCATCATCGGGCAAGTGAGTGACAGAGGTGTGTACGGCCGATCGAAAATGGTCGTTTCGGCCAATGTAAAATGAGGATCGTGTGTACGTCATGGTGTATTTGTGTGTAGGATGCGTTTCGTGGGCCACGTGTGTGTACAGGCTGAAGTATCTGCAACTATCGTGCAAATTGACAGGGGAGATGATCTCTCGGCATCTCCAGACGGGCAAAAGAGAATTTCTAGAGTAAAAACGAGGACGTAGAAGAGAAGTGAACTGAATTATCATTAACAAAAGTATATAAAATGGACAAAGTGATTAATGTAACATTTTAAATCTTCCTTCGTCCGTCATTGTTGTGCAAAAATAAATGAAAAAATTGTAAATAAAATAACGTTATTCGATATCAGAAGGTTAATTTTTGTCATTGATATCATGGTAGAGTGTGATTGAAAGAGAGACACATTATTTTGTTAATTTATTATTTGAATAAATAATCTTCAAATTCGTCCTCGTGGTGAAAGAGCAATCATCGTCTGAAAATATTAAATTCGTTCGTTCAAATTGTTGCTTTGAAATCGGAACATGTTTATCACTGAGGAATTTGAAGATAATTTTCACTCCTTCAATGTAAAAAATTATTGAAAATGAATGTTATTCAAAGTTATAACTGCTGATTTACTTTTATTATGGTGAAGCATATACTCAACACATATTTACTTAAGTACTTTGATGTATGTATGTAACTTTCAAACCCAATTTAACTCAAATTAACCCAAATTAAAATCTCCAATTAGAAAAATATTATTCCATATCTTTCATTTATTTTTGCAGAGAGAATCATCTTTTGCACGATATTTTCAACTGCACCCAATATACACTACGTGTATATACAATAATCGTAACCATGACCATAAGGTCAAATAATATAAAAAGTTGAATGTCAAAGAGAGAGAGAGAGAGAGAGAGAGAGAGAGAAAAGAAAGAAAAGAAAGGAAAAGAATATTTGTATAGGTGTGTACGTGCACATGTTCATTGGTGATGTGATGTACGGTGTGTGAGTGTGTGTGAGTGTGTGTGAGAGTGTGTGTGTGTGTGTGTGTGCAGTTATTACTTAACGTGACGTAACGTCTTACTTCTTTTTTCTTTTTCTTCCGTCCAAAACCTCCCTGAAATTGGAGAAACGGAGAAACAGTGGTTACACACAGAGAAAAAACACAGAATACTGGTATAGAGAGTTACAGTGAGCAGGGACTAGGGTCAGGATGAGAAAGAAAATATAAAAGTCACTAAAAAGGGAAAGAATGGAAGAGCTAGATATCACTAGTGTATATATTGCTAGTTTATATATATCATATATATGTATAAATATAGAGGATCAGGATCATAAAGCCACGAATGTTTGAGAAATAGAAAGTAAGAGGAGATCGAAGGATACAGAAAAAAGAGATAGAGACAGTTAGAGACGAAGGATACGAAACAGAAATTACACCACTGTTCGCAACTATCTGGACAATTTAGTGAACCTAACACGAATTTTGTCAAAATATAACATTTCTAATAATTGAAAAACAGTGCTTGTTACGATATTTATACCTTTCACGAAATTAACAAATATCAATATTATTAATAATTATACATGTGCATTAAACAGTTTGATAATAATTTATCTCTTTTACAAAGAAGCAGGTAATTAATCAAGGTGCTTATCGATCTGAAACACTATAAGAATTGCGTGGAAATTTAGATAAAATTCAAACTCTTTAAGAATAAACAATTAAGAAGATCAAATTGAAAACAAAGAACTTTCAAATTTCCAAAAATCAATTTTATCTCACGATATTTTATGTTGTAATTATTATAACAGATCTTGGAGAATTTTACATTGTATTAATTATTATAACAGATCGTGAAGAATAAAATTTCTTCATTAATTTAATTTAATAATTAAATTGCACTCTACCTAGATGTGAAGAAATGTCCAAATATTTTTAAACAGTAGCGTACATACATATTTGTATAAAGACAGATAGATATACATATGTATATGTATATATAAAAGTTTCATGTACAGTTTTATAGAATTATATATGTATATATATATATATACATATATACGAAGGATATTCAAGCGAGAGGATTGCGGGATCAGGCAAGCTAGGGGAGAAAGGAGGATATCGAGATCGAAGCGTCCCAATTGATACCATCTCGCCTCTCTCTTTCCCTCTCTAATCTTACCCTACGGGGCTATATAAAAGAGACACTGAAAAGAAGTCCTGTCAATTAATCGGGAAGACCGAATTTCGCATTCGCAGCTATAAATTTCAAATTCAAAGAATTTGCGGTCTATATTTTCACTTTTATTTATCTTTTTTAATATCTTCTAATCTATATGTAAATAGAAAAATTTCGAAGATCTTTCCGATTATATTACAGACTCCGAATATTCCTTGAAGAACTTGTTCTACGAAAATTCTTTCGAAAACACTTGATTACTCCTCCTCGGTTATAATTATAGTCGTGATAGAGTCACTATAGTAACTAACTGTAAGAGAAATCAACATGGAGGATGTTTCACTAATTTTCTCACGGAACTTTTCTTTTCGAGTGTATTATTGATATCGGTGTTTACCTCTTTTCGTTTCAAGAATAAAAGCATAACGAAGAAAGATTTTTAATAATATGAAGCATGGAAAATAGGTAACGTAGGAATATGGTAAAAATATTTCGTTAAATTTAGTAGAAAATAAGGATATATCGCGAAATTACTCGCGAAGATTTCTCGTAAAATCTAATGCACGTGTTGGAAGCTAGGTTAGATACAGGTAGATATTATTGACCCGTACTACTAGAATGCGGCGGAGAGACAGTCGCACAGTGCAAGGGGAAGCAGAGCGTCTATAGTCAGACGCGCTCGCCAGAACTGAAACGTAACTAAAATCACACTTTCCTCTAAATCGTCTATATATAGGCCATTATTTCAAGATATCCTTCAAATAAACGTTAATCCAGTATCTGAATAATGCACACGGAGGACATAAAAAACAAAGTAAAGAACTAACAATAAAAATAAAATGTCTGATAATGAAAAGATAAGATTAATAAGAATTTTGAACGACGAACAAACGAAAATACCATGAAAGAAAATGACTCTCCGAAATGATAAAGGGGAAACAAAGAAAATAAAATCTCTTGAAAAGGGAGAAGACGTAACACCGATATGATAAGTACATTGCTGAGAAGATCGTTCCGTAATCAATTTACCTAGTGAAAGACCCAGCATAATTAATACCATTTATATATGTATATAAGGTGACTACGTAAGTATTAAGAGAAAAGGGGCGGGGGAGAGAAATACTACAACACAACGAAGAGCACAGAGGGAGAGAGAGAACTACGACACAGCGATATTTATGTATGTATAGAAACAGGCACAGATAAGTGACACTGCAGACATCGAGCTCGTACGCGAACATATCTTTGGTATAACACAGAAACAATACATTACTCGACGACAGTTGTGTTTAATATATGTATGTATGTATATATATATATATCATATATACATATATTTATACATATATATAGACAAATGTAGACAGAAGTCGTCGATAGTATAGGCATGTATTTTCACTACGTACAACAGTAAATCAAGCAAACAATCAACGCGACGAGGGTAGCGACAATCGGTTGTTTACAAGGGGGTTAGGTAGAAACACTGCAGCTTGACATGTAATTATGTATATATATATATATATATATATATATATATATATATATATATATATATATATATATATATATATATATATATATACGTATGCATAATTATATATATATATATATACATAACATGGATAGACAGATATGGTATTGTGAAGATGAAGAAACAGATCTCGCAAAAATACGGCACTGCAGCTACGCAAAATAAAGGTACGACCAGAAAAAAAAAAACGGGGAAAAAAATGAAGAGTAATTGTAAACGTCCATAGAGCCTCACGGATAACACCGTGAATTAATTACAATACTTAAGATCGATTAACATCCTATCGTGGAGAAATTGCTAACTAATTAAGGACGTATCCAATTGATCATGGAAATAAATTTATTCGACATGTGTGTTAATTGTAAAATTTAACATTTGGAAATTTTGTAATTTTTTTCTTACTTAACTACGTCGTTTTTCAGTCAGACTGGTCGTTCTTTCGAATTTTCGACGATATTTTCAACGTAATCCATTTTCCAGGACGAGGAGATGCTAATCGATTCTTAAACGAAGAAACGTGATTACTGGTGGGAAAAAAAGAAACCATTGGTAAACGCACATAATTTAGCGATGCTCGTACGTTCGAGGTCTCGCTATAGAGATCTGTAAAGTAGAACAACCTGTGTATCGATGTTAATAAGCACGTTACGTAGAACGATCGTAGGTGTCTTCTTGGAACTCGTCTGAACTGGAAACGCGAGTCACCGGCATAACGTGTGCTATTTCTTTTTCGCTTTTCAAATTCGATGTTTTTTTTTTTTTTTATTCTTATCCTGCGTAAAAAAATCGAGAGATTCTTTTTCGTTCACGTTACAGTGTCAATGGTCTTGGCCATGTGAGATTTTACGTGGATCACACGTAAAAAAAAAAAAGGAGATGTGGTTTTCATTTTATGGGAGATTGAGTTGGATGCTAAAATCGCTTGTTCTCGAATAATCGACGAAAATGATTCACATACGTTCGAGTAACAAAAATAGAAACTTCTCGTATCAACTTCTTCAGTTCCCTGTACATTAAGTTTAAGCTGTCGCAACATGAAATTTCTACGAACTGTTCCTTTGAAATTTCTGTTTCCACTGATTGTGAGTCACTCATTTCGAGTGAATTATATATATATATATATATATATATATATATATATATATGTATCCGACTGAAGGAGTTGATAAAATAGACTGCAGATGTTTATGCAATTTAATATTTTTGAGAATGTTAACAGACATTTATATTTGTACACTCTGATTCAGAAATTTAGAACAAATTTAGAATTTCAGGAAAAGAAATTAAATATAAATATTTCATTTGCGATATTATCTAAAAGTAATCAATTACATTTGCAAGTGAAACTCGTAATTACAATATTTACCCAGATTTAAACGATTTATGCATCTCATCTAAAAAACAAAAGCTATCGCCGAATGAGAATGTACATTCATTTAAACATCCGCACTCGATTGACGAAGTCATCGAAACCTTTTCCACAAAAGGCAAGCGAACGAAGAAGACGCTCGTGAAAATTGTTCGTCGATTAAATCGTCGTAAATCAAGGTGAAACTCAAGAGTAATGTAAATGGATCGTTTCGTAATTGAAAATGTACGATTCGATTGAAAAGTAAACAATTACAAAACGATGGAAAAGAAAATAATGAATCGTTAGCGACCGGCCAGCGACGATCCTTTTCGAATCGAGGCTCGCGACACTACGTGTGCATGATGAACGTAGAGTAGACGATCTTACCTCGCCTTCCGCTCTCTTCTTCTCGAGCTCCTTCTGCTTGGCATGTTCCTCGGCGATGCGAGCCTCGATCGCTGCCAGGGACTCCCGCGTGAACGGACGGAACAAACTTCTTTCTTCCTCTGATACAGAGTCAGAATCTTCGGACATTGTCTAAGCTGCACACAGCTGAGCCACCTTCCTGGACACGACAATTATTGTTGCTCTTTAATTCAGCAAATAATCAATTATCAATATTCGGCCGTTATTAATATTTCAGGTAATTTCTCAGACGTTAAATGTTAAATAGTCTATGTGCAAATTATAAAGTTTCTTTGGTATTTGGATAACATCAAGTGATTGGCGATCGTTTCACTTGTTGTAAGAAACAAGTGAAAGTATATACACTGCCGTCCATAAGTCACCGAAACAGTTACTAGAGCACAGATATACTTTTCTGGATTAATTTTATTATACAATCTTGTTATATGTACTCTATTTACTCTATTATATAATAATAAACAAAATTGATATTTAACGTGTATGGTCTGAATAAATATTTCAAAGTATATCAAAAATATGTATATATATTTAAAAAATCAAATCGATGTATTTTGGGACAGAAGCCTTCAGAAATATGTCCAAAATCAAAAAAGAGGCTTATGGGAGAAATTAGAAGAAGCGAGCAAAGAAATTCATTCCGAAATATTGTTAAAATTAAACGAAAGTGTGCCACGGTTTTTCTGGCCTTCATATTTGCACAAAGTTATAAGATACATTATATGGTAAGATTTTTGACATATAGAATATGACTTCTTTTTGATTTTGGAAACATTTCTGAAGGCTTCTGTCCAATTCATCCCAAAATACATTGATTTGATTTTTTAAATATATATATACATATTTTTGATATACTTTGAAATATTTATTCAGACCATATACGTTAAATATCAGTTTTGTTTTCAAGTATTACTATAAAATAAAGTAAATAGAGTATGTTATATAGTCTTGTTATATAGACATAATATAATATTAGTATATTATACAGTCATAATATAATATAATATTAGTATATTATACAGCTATAATATTAGTCTATTATACGTCTATATAACAAGACTGTATAACATACTCTATTTACTTTATTTTATAGTAATACTTGAAAACAAAACTGATATTTAACGTGTATGGTCTGAATAAATATTTCAAAGTATATCAGAAATATGTATATATATTTAAAAAATCAAATTGACGTATTTTGGGATGAATTGGACAGAAGCCTTCAGAATAATAAAATTAATCCGGAAAAGTATATATCTATGCTCTAGTAACTGTTTAGATCAAAATAAGCAAGTGACTCCGGTGACTTATGGTCGGGAGAGTATGTACGTGCAAGATAGTATCGTTCGAAAACCTATCGAGTGTAAAATAATATAAAACTTAAAACTTATTGTTTCTCAACGAGTGATTTAGGTTAAATTTATTAAAATTCATCTAATCTGTTCCAAAGCACATTAAATAATAATAGTTGGCGCACAAGTGTTCTTTATTTCGCGGCAACGTTTGTGCACCGTACTGGCACAAGTGATGTCATTCCTAGCTAAAGTTCAAGTGTTGAACTTTCGCGTGACCTCTTAAAATGCATCGGCAATAATACCGTTTCGACATTACTTATCGATTTCTATATCTCGAAGCACGTTTCCAAATTAATATTTCGACCCGCATCGATAATATAGTAAAACTTCACTGACGTATATTATAATAAACACTCCTAATTCTGGAATCTATCCTACGTTCGTGCAATCTATAACTGGATTCAATTAATCGGATACTAGCTAAAATTTCTCTCAAGTAAATACAAACACGTGTTGCCCCGAGTTCCTCAACGATGTTGTATGATAGAGTATAATAGAATAACGTAAAAGTTTAACGAGGATAATATAAATGTTTTGACTCTGACTTACCAAACACGTGTTGCTTGCTCAGGTCGTTATAAGAAACTAATTCGTGTCAGTCTATCATTATGAAAAATTTATAGAATTTAACAATTAAACAATTTACTCCAGACAATTTCTATCTAATTTCTAATCAAAAGTTCTATTTTTTACACTTGTACGACTGCTTCTGGTTGAACGACTCGATCACTGCAACTGTTTAACATAAACGCGACTTAAGACGTTTGTTCTTAACACACACAACGTATGTTATCATTACGTAAGACGCCGAGTCAGCGGTGGTTTTAACGTAGTATGGACATTTTTCTACGTTTCTTTGATAACTGGTAAAAATATTTACATTGCACGGAAATGAAGTCTTTCAAAGTTATCTTATCGAGACGCAAATATCAATATATATCAGTTATTGTACGTATATTAGTTATTAGTTATATTTTTTTGTTAACTGCTATATATTCTCTATGTACAATGAAGGATAATATAATGATAAAGATAATTGAAAGGATTGTTCTTCTAAATCAATATTATAATTAACATTATAATATTATAAATTGATATTTTCCTCTGAAATTTTGAAATTTACTTGTTACAATCTTGTGTCAAGTTATCCAAGAGATATCAATAAATCTTTCTTTTGAATTTTTCTATATCTCTCTACATATACATACATACACACGCGTATAAGTTGACAAGTTGAATAACTCACAACAGCAACAACAACAAATTGCAAAGTAAATGGAAAAACCAATAGTGGAAAGTGATCGTAGGCATTTCTTTAAAGTAGATGGATATTCGCAGAGAGGCTATACACGACTCTAAGGAAATTGTAGGCTGAACTTATTTCTATAATGGGATGGCACACTTCGAGACCCTCTTTCCCAACTCTATGTCTCAGACCACTTAGTAATAAACTTTATGATGCTACGATATCGTAGAATTTCGTGTTAGGTTGTCACGAACGAGAAGAATTGCAAGAAAATGTGTGTAGGTACGTACATTTTATAGCTCAAAACACTTCAAACTTTTGATTTATATTCAATTCTTTGTTCCCTCTCCAAGAACTGAAATTGCCTATTGTTACATCTCTAAGAAGCTTTTCTCAACTCTGTAAGACCTCTGTATGCCGTAAATCCTAAAAATTTCTCCCTTTCTCTCAAAATTCACGCGAAGTTAGAATTTAAGAGAAGCAGCCAGCACTTTTCACATTTTAGAAACAGAATGTTGTGTTACAGAATGCTGAGTTACTGTGTAATTTTCAGAAATTTTCTTTCCCTTGAAATTCTCTTCTCTTTCAAAATTCTTCCAAAACTAAAACTTGTTAGGTTGAATTAGTAACAGTAATAATCTCCCTTCCTTCTTCTTTCGAAATTCGCGCGAAATTGGAATCCAGTGGAGTTTAATTTAAAATTTTCCCCAATTTTTCCAATCGGTTGGCCGTAACGAAAAGAAAACTCCATTGAATTCATCAACGCTACAATAGATTACTGTGTTACGTGCCTGATGGATTGAAACATCGATACGCAACAAAGAAACTCCAACTTTTTCCCGATCTGGCAGATCTGTCGCGACACCCTGATTTGTCTGGTGCACTTAAAAATTGGAACACCGCCAACGCGAGTTTTATTCGCATTGAAACGCGAAGCACCGTCTGGCAGGATCGGCTCCAACTTAATTATTAAACATTGTGTTATTGAAAAAGCTATGAACAATGTAAGAGATAAAGCCGAGCTTAAGTCACAGCGACAAAGCACGAAGACACTAGTTGAATCTGATGAATGCTTTTGTGAATAAGGAACTAGATCGGAAATATAAGGTTGTGAATTCTGTATTCAATTGAAGAATGCCTCGTCTCGGTCGGTTGAACGATTACAATTTACAATACCTCGCGGCGTGTTTTTTAATATCATTCGCTGCTCCGACTGAATTATTTGTTGAAATTAATTTGCGGAACGCGAGGAAACTGTTGTAAGAATAAAAGAAAATTTGAATAGCCTACCCGCAATTCAATGTAGAGCTTCATCGATTTACGTAACACCTAAGATTCGCTTTAAACGAACAATATAATTCCATAAATAGGCACACTAATATCTAGTTCCTGAGAACGCTTGTAAGCAGAAATAGAAAGCCCATTAAGTATGCATGAGATTTATCGAACAGTCAACTTTCAAGCTCATTCAATGTCCTCAAAATCGCGTTGGAACGATCAAATCGTTGAAAACAAAGAGACGAAAGCTATTTATTATTTTGCTTCTCAACCGCGTATGTTTGTTTTGTATGATACATGAATAAAACAAATAACTTCTCTTTTTTTATATATATATTAATAATATCGTTTCATTCAAAAGAATGTAATATATGTGCATATTAACGTATGTAAATACTTGGAGATAAATGACACTAACTCGAAAATAACTTGAAATTACCAATTACTTTATTACTTGTTGCTTTGTTATTAATCACTTTAGATTAACTAAGCTATTAAAGCTCAGAAATTTTGAATTGCGATTTGGTAAAAATCAATGTATAGTTTATATTGCTTTCCCGATGAAATGTTCTCTCTAGTTTTGTTTCTTCGTACGACATTCCTACGTATAGATATTGTGTACTATAGTACGTACGTATATACCATTAACGCATAATTACTCTTGGCTGGTACCACGCTGTCCCATTTCCATTTCTCCCTCACTCTGAGACTATAGCGTTCCACATTCCTACAGTTAGGGCCAAAGATTTCAGTAACTCAAGGACATTAAGCCAGTTTCTCCACCATCTACTCGATTTTAGAGAAATAATACTAAATAATAATTCTCCTAAAATATCAATAAAAGCTAACACATAAATTGCTGAATTACAGAAATGTATTGCAACATTATCGTGTTGCAGTAAATCCTGTCAACATTGTTAAAACGTGTGCCATAAAATCTTCGAAAATCTTCACGAGCAAAAACTCGCCTCTAGCACGTGATAGAGTTGGCGACCTTGAGATTCTGAAATATCTCTCGCCCTAGCTATACCATGCCTCAATATCCAACCTAGTTTGGACCAACCTTTCAAAATCTTTAGAAATTTCTTTTCTCTTTTCTCCACGTAACCCATATACTTCAAATCGCGAACTTCATTTTCAAAAATGTTGTACACTCTATCGGAAGCTCCTAACCTTGTCCTCAACAAATCTTTTACATGATCTCTTCCTATACGAATCTCGTGACCAGCAATTTCTTTAATTACTTTGCTTACTTTTTAACGAGGGAATTTAGAGAATTAGGTAATTTAACAATTATAAAATAAATATACTTTAGAAAAAATATGACAATAATGTTTCTAACTATATTCTTCCCTCCAAAGAGAAATCTAACTTAATGTAACAAAATTTTTATACAACGAAACCAGATTTCACTTTCGTTACATAATCTAGTGTTTTAAATTATTCTATATAATAATCGAAGAGAAAAACGTAACGTAATGAAATTTTCATACGGTAGATTTTACATGATAAAAATGCACCCACAAGTCACCGGACACTTGCTTATTTTGAGCTGAATAGTTACTAGAACGCTAGATATACTTTTCTGGATTAATTTTATTGTACAATCTTGTTATATGTACTTATTTTATAATAATACTTGAATATTTCAAAAAAATATAAAAAAAAATACATATGTATATTTAAAAAAATCAGATCGAAGAATTGTGGGATGAATCGGAATCAGAAGACTTCGGGAAACGTGTTGTCCAAAGTCGAAAACAGACTTGTGGAAGAAATTAAAAGAAGCGTGGAAAGGAATTCATCTCGAAATATTGATAAAATTAATCGAAAGAATGCCACGGTTAGTTCATAATTGCACGAGGCGGATATATCGGCGAAACAAAGATATAAGATACATTATATACTTCTTGGTAAGATTTTTGCCAAATAAACTGTATGACACACGTATTCTAGATTATATTGTACATATGTATAAGTAATTTTCGTTTCATAAAATCGGATGTGTTTCATCGAACATAATTATCCGTGCCTAAATTTGTCGTAGTGTCCGGCGACTTATGGTAGTGTACGTGCGTCCAAATGTAACAAAATCCTACGTAAACATTAAACGCCATTACAAATTCCATTACAAATACATTCTTACTCTGGATACTTGAAACTGGATACTCACTTTTGATCGGTGCTAACAGTTCCTGAAGTGTAATGTGCGCGTGTCCCACGATACGGGGGGGTAAGAGAGTGGCTGCTGCGGTGGCTGCGGCTGCGGCTGACGAGGACGAGACCGATGCTGAGAACCGCGCGACTTGCCGGCTAGAGGCCGGTACCTGGGCGTCGATTCGGAACGCGTCGTGTCGTCGAACCGATTTGACGACGCCGTTACGTACGATCGGACGGATAAATGCGACTCGTGCAGCACGTCGACTGCCGATCTACCGATGCCCTTCCTTTCCCTCTTATTCTTCTCGATCGCCGTGACGCCTCTTACTTTGATAATACCTCTTCCCTTAATGCTTCCACTACCGCTACTTCTAACGATACTTCTTCTCACTTTAACGTTAATACTGTTGCTGCTGCTGCTACTACTGCTGCTGCTGCTGCTGCTGCTGCTGCTGCTGCTGCTGCTGCTGCTGCTGCTGCGGCTGCTGCTGCTGCTGCTGCTGCTATTGCTGCTGCGGCTGCTGCGGCTGCTGCTGCTGCTGCTGCTGCTGCTGCTGCTGCTGCTGCTGCGGCTGCTGCTATCGTTGATGATGATGCTGCTGCTGCTGCTGCTACCTGACTCTCGTTCCGACGAAATGGCGACGAGAAATGACGAACGCGCTGCGGCAGTGCGTGCTATGTCGGGGACCGTCCAACGCGAACCAAGATTTTTCATGTCCGACCTGCGATTCGAATGCATCGCCATATTATCTATTTTATAGTTCCCTGTTGCCGAAGCGGAAGGTACTTGAGATACTCTCCGAGATGTCGGAAGAACTTTTTGGTATTATGTGCAGTGGCACAGGTACCTTTCTTTTTATGAGTGAAAGTATTTTTAAAGTCGATTTAATTCGCAGAGATATTCCTTAACCAATATTGTGAAAATCTTTTTCATTCATCTCGATAATTTGACTGATAGATTCACAGACAAGACTGTGCTGTTATTGTACCTTATCATATGAATTCTGTTCCGACTGTCATTGTGAACAAGCATGTACTGATAAAATGTTTCGCTGATCAAACAATATTAAATTGTTGAAAATTTTACTTCACTCTTTCAAATGTAAGCTTCTCAGTAGCTAAACTAAGATTAACTCCACTTTTTACAAGTGCCTCGATTTAAAACGTCTCTCATAAGTTAATTTATAGCAAAGATAATAATTATAAAAGTTTGTTAATTTCGAAGGAAGCTTTTATTACTTGTTTGTTGTTTTCAATGTAAGGAATTGATCGCTATGACTTCTGAATAGCTCATACATGAAGGTGAGGTTATATATTTATTTAAAAATAAAAAAAATGAATGAAAAAAGATTTCGGAATTCTTATTATTTTGTAATACATACTTGTTTCAATATAGACTGTAGAAAAAGATATTTTAATACTATACCTAAAACTTCTGGAATTTTATACTAGTTTACTACAATTGTCTGACGAAAAGGATAAACTACTGTAAGCTATTGTTCACTGTTGAGTGCAAGTAGATTCGTACCATCAGTGAACAAATGCAATTCTTCCTTCAAAAATAAAATCGAGCCATGTTTCGTTTAAATAATTGCACAAAAACGAGGCATATTATTCCGAAAGAATAATTTTCTATCTCTAAGTACCTCCAAATACGTTTGTTCACGATATTTTCTTGGTAAGAAGAGTATACATAAGAAACGTATAATCCAAAATATTCATACATTCAATTCATATTCGTGTCATACTCACGTGTGAATGAAGCGACGGGTGCGATCAATCCGTTATTCGAAATAACATAGTCTGATCTGCGAGACGATCGATACTTATCTACAACAGAAGCAAAAATCATTGTGTTAGAAATAAAAATTCAATGCACATACTTAATAATCATACATCCATGAATTATAAACAACATGCGTTTGTATAATTTTATAACAAATGATAATTTAATGGAAAAATAATACAAGCATTATCGAAATGATATATAATATTTTTCTAACAAGTTTTGTAATGAATTTCAAAATCTTTATATAATTGTGGATAAAAGATCGAAATTTTGCAATATATATTTCCTAATATTTTCAGATACACAGTTAATACACAATATACAAAGTATACCAGTTACCAGAGAAGCTACTGTAATGCAAATTGAATCTTTCAAATCTCAATTCTCCAACATAAAATTCCAGACGTACCATTTCACGTGATACATATTCTTATAAAAAAAAAAAAAAAAAAGAAAGACACTCCACTGCCAGAGTAAAAACAGTTACCATCGTTTCGAGCAAAAGCAACCATAATTATCTCGTATCAAAAGTTTCATCGCTCCGTGATCCAACAAGTGAACAAAGAAAAAAGATCAGAAAGCCAGGAACCAAGCCTAAGATCAAACAAGAATTAAACCCCTCTGTCCTATTCCATGATATCCAACAAGTAGAAAAAAAAGATCGAAAAGGAAACTAAAGCTGGAAGCCGTAAAAAAAAAAAAAAAAAGAAAAGAGAAAAGAGAAAGAGAGAGAGAGAGAGAGAGAGAGAGCAAAAAAACATAAGGAACAAAGAACGTAAATCAGCCTCGAGGATCGGTGTACGTGTACGCGCGACGTTTTCGGGCGGAATATCTTTTGGCAGCGAGCGGCCACTCAAGAGTTTTGTCGTTCGTGAAAGAGTGCGGCGTGTTCACGCATATTCACGACAACAAAAATTTTTACACGGAGCATGCGATAGCGGAGGCGGCTCGGTGGAAGGGTGTCGGTGGTCTTTGACCGAGTTTCGTGCGGTCGATCATATTCCGCCGGAACTCGGTCACGCGCTTATGCATCGGTGTCGTCGTCGCGGCGCCAACGCGGGCGAACTCGCGCGCGCCCATACGCAAACCAGGAAAAGTAAGAGTGAACGGTTGATTGCCAGTGGTACGGGTGTACGCAGGATCGGACAGCGCCGAGTGGCCGGCCCGAGAAAGGACGAAGATGCCCGAGCTAATTTAAGGACGGCCGCTAACTAACGACGTGCATATACATATATACCAGAGACAGGAGAATTGCCACTTAATTCGATTACGCTAATTGCACCACCGTGCAGTTTTTATTCGGTTTTAACTCAGCGCTGGTAAATCGCGACGCGATCTTAACAATTTCCTGAAAATGAATAAACTTCTCCTTCTCTCAGTCGCGCGGGATTTTTAGGAAAAGTATAATTTTAGCAATTTCAACTTCATCGAGCTCTCGGGAGATTTATGTTGTCGAGAGAATGGAATTTGTTTGATTATTTGGCAGGCGAGTGGAATTTTACATTCGGATTTTCTCCCTTTAGCTGTTTTAGAATTACACACTGCGATATTAATCTATGCACAATCGGGGCAAGTTTTACTCCTTGGATTTCCTTAGCGAGAATTTTTACATTTCCCACGATTGCCGCTGATTATTATTTCGATCTTAATCCTCCGTAGGCAAATGAAATTTTCTGTAAAGTAAAATCTTCTTCGAAATTCCGTGGAAAGAATTTTTTATTTTCGTTGAAAAACGAAAACAGACGTTGATAAGTATGATGAGATTTTTTTTTTTTATACAGAGTAACAGAGAGATTAGGCTTGGACATAAATGACCCAGTTTTCTTACAGAGAGGTAAAGCTTTATGATTATTTTAATATTGTTATATTAGGATATTTTATTGATGACCGTAACCATTAGCGTATAAATTTATTAGAAATCTCTCTTTTATGCAAATTATTATAAAAAGAGGTCGCGACTCGAAAAAGATTGGGAACATTGATTTATGTTCATAGTTTGCAGCGTTCAATACCGTAAATTTGTTCTCTTGTGTTGTTTAATCCAGTTGGAACGTCAATTAATTTTCATTCATCCCTCGTATCAATTTGTTACGTTGTAACATATGTAAAAAGATATGATGTAACCACAATTTTATTATTAACAAGCGATGCAAATTACATACGATATGTATAGAAATGTTACGCTTTTATTTTCAGTGAAATGAAAATTCGCAGATTTAACCATTTATAAATCCATTCTGCCAACGTTTCAATTTAATTCGTGCTTTGATAACAAATTTATTGATAATGGAAAAGAATGAAAAACAGATGAAATAATATTCGTGGAAAATATGAAGGAATATCATTCTATTTGACATTTTACAATCTATTAATTTAATTCGATACAATGCAAAACGTCTGAGTGGAAATATATGCGTACAATTGGATTTCCTTTGACTCGAAATGTATAATGAATCTCCGTAAATTTTTATGAACGCAATTGGAAAAGAAATAGAATTTGAATCACTGTTATATACTCTGCAACTTATATAATAGTAATAATATATTATACATTATGATATATAATAGGCTCACTCTACTTTGAATATTTTATATGCTAGTCCGAATAAATATTCTTTGTGTATGCAAAATCATGTGACACTCGATGGTTCACATACGTATACATGTGTGTCCATAGATCATAATTTCTCAAACAAAAGCAATTATCCTCCTTAACCTCGATAAACTCGTCCGAACGGGTTAATATTAATCAGCAAACGTTATGGGAAATAGGAGATACATAATCCGGCGACACATGGAATGCGATGAAGCTCAATTTAATTGCCTATTGCAGCTTTTATCCTGCGGATATATGACTACAATAAAAACGGCACTCTGCCAACACGCAGGCTAGAGAGAAACGGGGTCAGGTATGTCTACGGTAAATCAGCCTTCATCGAGGAATCAACAAAAGCATTCGACGTTACAAGAGCTACCCGTTAAAGAGTCTAAACACTCGGTTTTCTCTTTTTTTTTTCTTTTTTGTATGCGAGTCCGTGTGCACAGGCATAGTATGAATTCGCAAGGACGCTTTAGAAATGGCAATTTATAAGAACTGCCATTGGAAATTATGTCATATTAAGCCAGAGACACCACAGGACGGAGCAAACGCCTTTCTACCTAAAGGCAACGTTACTAAACGTTTGAGGAAAATTATCCAAGGATCGCTACTTTCCTACGAATGGAAAACACGTTCACGCCTCCCTACGTGTCTTGCCTAAAGAGGACAATAACAATAAAACGTTCAAAATTAGATATAATTCTACTAATGTAAGTGAAATTGAAGTATTCTGAAAAATTTCAGTTTAGGAAAATAAAGAGCCTGAAGTTTGCAAATATTCCGATCCCGGAAACCTTCGTTCGTTGCCTAAATCACCCCCGAGCGATAGAATTACGTTTTACAGACGATCGAATGTAATAGAAACGTCGCCGGCAGAGACGACTGTTCCAAACGGTCTTTTCGAAAGCCCGAATCACGGGATCAATAAACCAGTCCCAAGTGCATATAGCGGACCGAAACGAATGCACGATCTACTTCGAATGCTGGCATGAATCTAGAGGAGACCGCCTGTAAATCCCCCCCCCCCCCCGACTTAAAGAACGTCAATCGCTGAAAGCTGCTCGCATATACCGCGAGATCTTTCGCGAACCAGCTCTTCCACGAAAGTCCACGGTGAAAAACGAACTCGTCGTCGCGACGAGCTTCAAGTCAACTGGAAAAGGATAATCTCCCCGACGGATGTTACTCGACCGCGCGTGATTGGTATCGTGCAATCGGTGGCGACCACCGCATTTCCCTGTAATTGCACGGCTGCCATCTTGATGGACAGAAGCGGAGAGAGCAGCGGTGGCGCCATCGAAGAGGAACGACGACGGGGAAGCGTTTTCTCCACGTTGCGATGTGGCACAGCAGCGACCCGACGCCGACACCGATGCCGACGTTGCGTGACGTCACGAACCAGGCCGGGTACGTTGCGGAAAAACGTTGTCATGACGACGAGCGCTGACGCTACCGTCGCCGCACCGTCGTTACCACCGCCATCCCCCTCCCCCTCCCCCCCCCCAACGAGCCCACATTCACCAATGCCAAGGATTGAAAATGATAAAAACATCATCCGGACGACGAGTAAGAATGATCTCTGACGCGTAGATCGAAAGGGTAAACGAATTAAATTTTAATTGAAATAACACACGCAGATCGTCATTTTGAAAAAAAAATAAATAAATAATGGTATTAACAGTTTTGAAGTAAGAGCGAGATACGTGTAATCAAAATCTAGTATCTTTTGCTTTCCTGCAAAATTGACAATTATAACTTATTGCGATCGCGGATCGTCATTTTGAAAAAAAATGGAATTAACAGTTTTGAAGTATGGGCAAGATATGTGTAATTAAAATCTAATATCTTTTGCTTTCCTGCAAAATTGACAAATATAACTTATTTTGATCGTAGATTGTCATTTTGAAAAGAAAAATGGCACCAACAGTTTTGAAGTGTGAGCGAGATATGTGTAATCAAAATCTAATATCTTTTGCTTTCCTGCAAAATTGACAAATATAACTTATTGCGATCACAGATCGTCATTTTGAAAAAAAATGAAATTAACAGTTTTGAAGTAAGAGCGAGATACGTGTAATCAAAATCTAGTATCTTTTGCTTTCCTGCAAAATTGACAATTATAACTTATTGCGATCGCGGATCGTCATTTTGAAAAAAAATGGAATTAACAGTTTTGAAGTATGGGCAAGATATGTGTAATTAAAATCTAATATCTTTTGCTTTCCTGCAAAATTGACAAATATAACTTATTTTGATCGTAGATTGTCATTTTGAAAAGAAAAATGGCATCAACAGTTTTGAAATGTGAGTGAGATGTGTGTAATCAAAATCTAATATCTTTTGCTTTCCTGCAAAATTGACAAATATAACTTATTGCGATCGCGGATCGTCATTTTGAAAAAAAATGGAATTAACAGTTTTGAAGTATGGGCAAGATACGTG